GGTACATAAACAACATTGTTCAAATGTAAAACATGACCAGAATTTAAATATAAAGAAATAGTTCCAATGCATTCAACTGATGCCTCGCTCCCTGCTATGCCAAAGACTGACCTCTGTGCCTCACTTGGAACCTTCTGGTTTCTTAGCCCCTGTGGAGAATTCACAACATGTACAATGGCACCAGAATCCAGCCACCATGAGTCAAAGGAAGTTTCAATGGTGTTAGATTCAAAACAAACTAGAGCTAGAGGGGCAGTTTGAAGAGTTATACCTTCACTTTCTTGTTTGTTCTTCAATTTGAAGCAATTAGCTTTAATGTGACCCGGTTTCTTGCAATAATTGCATAACCCTTTAAAGGGTTTCTCCTCGACTTCTCACTCTTATCACCATCCTTCTTAAAGGTTGGATTATTGGGCTTTGGGGCATCATGCTTCTTCCTTTTTTTCTTATGTGACCCTCCAGATTTGCTACTAGAGCCATGGAAAACATAGTTTATTGAGTGAGAGGAATTCTTCTTTATAGCTTCCTCTTCTTAAGTGACTATCAATATCATCTGGTCAACAGACCATTTAGCTTCTTGTGAGTTGTATGAAGTCCTCAAGAATGCGTACTCTGATGGCAGTGATTGAAGACACGGTAAACTAAGGTACTTTCACCCAAATCAATCCCATATGACTTAAGCTTGTTATAGTAATGAACAAGCTTCAGAATGTGCTCCCTGACACCAGAAACTCCATCATATCGAGTGTTGTCAAGAAGTGATAGATAATAGTTCTTTTGAGTCTTGTCAAGCTTTTTGTATTTGTTACCAATAGCTTTTAAGTACTCTACTGCAGTATCATTTTTAGGAATGTTGTCCCTAATTCCCTTTTCAATTGTATACTTGATGATCGCTAGACAGATCTAGTTGGACTCACTCCATTGTTTATGGAAGGCTATTTCATAAGCACTGGACTCGGAAGAGAGATCCGCAGGCTTGGGCTCTCTCAGAGCTAAATCTTTCTTAGAAATGGTCAGATACATATTGAGGGACTCTTTCCAGTCATCATAGTTAGTCCCATTGAGAGCCTTCACAAAGGATAGTTGCGTAAAAGCAGAAACTGAAATCGCAAAACAGAAAATGAGAAATATTAATTATGTGTGCATAACATAATTATAAAACAGAATTCCCCAACAAGCGATTATCAATTAGGCAACTATAATCATGCACCAAGAAGGCTCATATACTATAAAATTTAGCTCATACAAAAGTCCATACAAATAATGCATTAAACATTTTCATACCTATAGGATACAATAAATATCTAACACATTAAAGGAGTGCTATTAGCCTATCCTCAAAGCCAACCATCAAAATCACATTAATAATGTCACACCTATGGGGTATGTCCATTATCCATGCTACAAGATCCTAAGCATCATCAATAATTCATAAAGTCACAAATTTTATGACTTTAGGACAAAACAACATAATTTTAAAAGTCCTTAGGGTCTTTTAGGAATTAGAAAATGAATCTAGTACTTAAGTGAAATTTTAAAAGGTAATCAGGGGCAAATAAGTAATTCTGGAAGAGATTTGGGTCAAAATACAATCCTGGAAGTTAAGGGGACCACAATATAATTTTAAGAAATTTATTAGGTCACGGAGGAAATTCCATAAATTTGGGCCGAATGATGTAATTCTATCCTGGGGTCAAAAGGTAATTAATAGAATCTCCCTTTTTTTTTTAAATCAGGCCCAAATTCATCTGGGCCCAACGCAAACGAAAGTGGATCCCCGCCAACTTCTCCCCACCTCCCTTTTTTTTAATCAGAGATTTAGGCCCATATGAAAATGGGCCCAGAACTCATAGAATCGGATCCCTTATTACAAATGTCTTATAATTTGGAATGGAGAGAGTATTAATTAATAGATAAAAAATTATAACTAACAAGCGTGTATATACACGCACTTAATCGAGGTTACTTGAAACCAGGGAGCTGCCAGTTTTGATTGTCGTTGCCAATTGAGTTTTTTTTAAACCCAAATGAGAAAAAGGTTGCTCAACTCAACAGAGTCAAGTACAAGGCAACATTTGACATTTAAGCTTTTAAAAGACTTAGGGTATGTTTCATTAAAGATTTTAGAGGAAATGGGAGGAGTGATGCTCCCCTCCTCTCATTTGGTTGAAAATTTAGAGGGAGGGGGAGTCAAAATTTATTCCTCCCCTCCCTTTGGCCCCTTTCAAATTGAGGTTTTTTAGAAGGGAGCCAAATATATTGACTAATTTGTCCTTAGTAAATTTTTTATATTTCATGAATACCTATCGATCAAAACTCCATCTCTCTTGCTCGACTTCCCAACTTCTTGTCATTTCTCTGTCAAGCTTTTCCCACTGAGTTTCCCTTTATTGCCATTCATGTTGTAGTTCAATCCATCTTAACAATAATTTATGTCAAATCAATGGCAACACCCTCCCATGTTCTCTTATGTGCAAATGAAGGAGGGTGCCATTATGTTACGGTTCAATCTATACAAGGAGGAGGAAGTGGCTATCGCTCGTTGTGGACTCTAACTTTGATCTTTAGTTTGGTCGTCGATGGAGTGAGCGAAGGATGAGGAAGGAAGTCTATACTCTATTGGTCTGGAACTAGAAGTCGATAGAGACTAGCTTGAAATAGAAAGGCAAGGGCAAGGCCTTAGGAAAGAACTAGGAACAAATTAACCTTATTGTTCTTTGCTCAAACTTCAAATTAAGTACATGCGTGATATATATAATGACATGATGGGAACTTAACCTCACGCTCATGATGCTACCATTTATGCATGAATATGCTTACACATTTTTAAATCAGGACAAGAAAGTTTGGGAATTCATTATTATCTTTGGGATTCAATTTTTTTCGACAGCCTTGATATTTGTTACTGTGTGTGAATGAATACTATGTATGAAGATTGACTAGTAATGTGTGTTTGTCGTGTAGCAAGTCAAACTCATACTTTCCCTTCTATCTTTCAATTTTTGATTATTAAGGCAACTGTGCTTGCAGAGGACTGTTGTTGTTAAATAATGGTCCAAGCGCTCCCTCTTACAAGCTGCAGATATCTTTGAAACTATGTTGAATTAGTCGTCCCGGTTTTATTTTAGTCAAAAGGACTGAGACTGTATGTTCCTCCTCGAGCTCAATAATGGAATAATGATAAAAAGATCGTGAACTCTTTCAAGCAAATGCGGCGTTCTTTTCTTGAAAGTTTAAACGCTCATTATATCGTGGGTGAAGAATCTTGCTACCGAGAGCTTCGAATTTCAATTACGGGGAGAGTTAGAAGTTGGAGCTGAAGCATGCACAAACAACACAGGGTCCTTGCCAACATGAGTATGCCTTTTTTAACCTTTTTGGTCTGGCTTCCGATAGTACTAGGATTCGTCATTTTACTGTGTTTTACACCAACCACTTGATCAGAGCTGAATCAACCGAAGCTTGCAGGGTTGTCAATTCGTCAACCTAATTATCCGTATTAGGCCCCGAAACACTTAGATATTTAATTTGCGTCCCTAGTTTCAGCTCGATCGAAGCCATTTGGGATCTATTTCCAATTCATTGCATATTTAGGACACGTTTGTTTCTACTTTAAAAACTGTTTTTTATTTTTGAAAACAAAAAAAAATTAAAAAATTGTTTGGACAAGTATTTGTCATTTAATTGTCTCCAGAACTATTTTTGTTTTTTGTTTTTAAAAACAAAAAAAATAAAGAACTTTAATTTGTTTTTGTTTTATTTTTTATTGTTAAAATACACTACATTTGATTATTAAAAATTATAATTACCTTGACTAATTTCTATTATTAGTCACTACTATTACTGTTTTAATCATTATTATCAGTTCAGTTTTTTTAATTTTTAATCTGATTTTTAATTGACATAACAAAACAAATTTTTATTTTTTTGATTTTTTGAAAAAAAAATTTTAAAAGATATATAACAAAACAATTTTTAAAATAAAAATAAAACAAAACCAAATAATTCCTAGTAATATTTTTATTACTTTTTTTATTGTCCAAGTATCTACTGTTTGTAACGGTGATTAATCCATTTACTGCAGAGTCTCCCACAATGGGGCATACAGCTGGTCATAAATGAGCTCTCTATTTGCAGGAGTAAGAAATCAAACCTTTCACCATATTTTAAAGGATGGAGTGAGATAGTCACTACGTTACATGATTATGTTTATTATTTTTTACCCCACCAATTGTTTTCCCTTTTTTAGGGGAGTGGAGGGAACCAGAAAAGGGCTACCTAGCCCATGTAGGTATCGACAAAAACGAAGCCCATCATCTGGACGGCATCATTGAACTTTAAGGACAAAAATGCCAAAAGCCTAGTGACCTCCTAAAATACTATATCTTTAAAAAATATAATTAGACAAATACTATTATTATTATGTAAAAAGAAAAGAAACTGTGCCAAGAAGATGAAGGCGTGAAGGGAGAATTGCTTCGTTGGAGCCCACAAGTGATTCCTTGCTTTGTGCTTTCCCCAACATTGTTTCGAAATCCATGATCGAGATTAAAACTGAGGCCCATTGTACTTTTCCGTCTTCCAATACTAAAAACAATGTCTCTGAGCCCTCGTCGGCAAAGGACGAATGGCGAACCCGGGACAAACCTTTTCTACTGGTGCTACCAGTGCAACCGAATGGTCCGTCTCCCCTCCACGGACTTGTCCAACATAACCTGCCCGCTTTGTTCTGGCCAATTCCAAGCGAGATCGACTTATCCAGGCCTAGAACTCATATTGGATTTTACCCATCACGACCCATCACCGGGAGGCCCGTCTTTTAGAAGCCCTTTCTTTGTCGTTTACCCCCAATTAGACGGTTTAATGGGCGGCTCCACGACCCCCGAGCTCAACCTCCACGCGTTCCGTTGGATTCAGGATCGAGAGCAACCCCGCCAACAAGAGGGTAGACGTCATGCCGATTCCGATGGTGAAATTCCCGTCCGGCGTAACACACGTCGACGACATCGTCGGGCTGATCAGAGAGCTGGTGATTCCGACGCTGATGGACCCGAACCTCTAATTCTTCCTCATCCTCGGACTTGGCTAATTCTTCCACCTAGAGATCCGTCTGACCCATTGGAATTAATTCCGCGACTACAAAACCCTATACCGCGCGGTGTTGACCCGAGAGACTACTATTTTGGTCCTGGTCTGGGAGAACTGATTGACCAATTGACGGAAAATGACAGCCAGGGGCACCGCCAGCGCCGGAGAGAACTATCCATGCGATTCCGAGTGTGAAAATCTCGGAGAGCCATCTGAAGGAGAACCCATACTGCCCGGTTGCCAGAAGAATTTGAAGTGGGTGGAGATGCAAGGGAATTGCCCTGCAAGCACATATACCATTCGGATTGCATTGTTCCTTGGCTAAGGCTTCACAATTCTTGCCCTGTTTGTCGGCTTGAGGTGCCGGTGTCCACCGACTCTGTTGAGCCCAGTGACGGAGGAGGCAGGATACGAAGGTGCCTGAGATGGTTTCAGATTCAACTGGCTTCTCTGTTGCCTTTTCAGGAGGCGTCGACGGATTCGTCCAGAAGAAGAGAATGACATGATTGCTTCCGCAAGGGGTTATAACGGATACTTTTTCTATAGCTATACTTAATGAATATTAGTATAAACAGTAAATGCTTCTTGAGAGATCCTTGCCTTGTCTGTTTTAAAACGAAAATCTAGCAAATTGAATATCTAATCCCCATGCTAATAATGGCATTAGCGTAATAGTGAGTGAGACATCAGTTGCACTTGTGCTAAGTCTGAGTTTACTTTTCTTTTCTTTGCTTATTCTTTTTGTTTGCCATTTGCAGCTGCTAGTCCAGGGAGGATCCCATGCTGTATCCTTTAGTTCACCTCTGATACTGATTTGCATGGGCTTGCACTTGAACTTCACACTCTGCCTCTCCATCTGAAGACAGGGGTCCCAACTTCAATACAATTAGATATTCGCTTGCAGTTCCCAGAGAAGATGCAAATACAGAAAGCTTAATTTAGGCCAAAGAAAACGGACAACCCAAAATGGAATTCAGAAACATTTGTTTCAACATCTAGAGCAAGAGTATCTAATATATGTACAGGGACAGGACATGTTTTATAATCTCGCGTTTATGGTGAAGAAGCGTAGTTATGTACATAAATTTATCCCTGGTCAATTTCATTCAATCTTCGGGAAGCCATTTATTGGGCTTCTGCATAACGGTGAACGTGTAGGTGTAGTCACAAGCAACCCATGAGTGACAAAAGCGAAAAAATGATAATACAATGGTTGCGAGCTGTTGCTTTTGAGCAACAAGACAGAATAGTTTGCGTAAATGGCGAAGCCTGAGTGCAAGTACAATTCCAAAGAAAGAGATAAATATTTGTTTGTGCGTAAATGGCATCTCTTCGTTCCACATTCATGTATCAAAATTCTCTCCGTCAAAATCATTTTATTATTATATTAAACAAAAATCATGGTTACTCAGCAAAATAAAAAAGATAATAGAGGGATCTTAATCGATGAAATGGAAATCAAGTGTTATTTTGTTTATTATTGTTTTTGTTTTATTGTAAGAAAATTCCAGCCAATTCCCACAAGAATGTAAATTTTTATTAATCCCAACATGGGACAAATAATTGTTACCAAGTAAACCCAAGAATGAGCATTAGGAAAACTCATACAAGCTAGAAAAACCCAAACATCCTCACCATAAGACACATAATTGTCACCATAACTTTCTTAGAAATCAGACAAAACAACCCCCGATATGAAGAAAAATACTCAAGTCATGATTCAATCACAATATTGGCATTGTGTGGGAGGGGGCAATGTGAATGCCAAAGTGTGTTCTGCGAGAGATTGCTCCTCCATTGATTTTGTAACACGTATCACAAAGCCACGCGCCACTAAAAAAGTGCGTAACCTTATTATTTTCCTATTACAAAAAGTTACATTTTAATTTTAAAAAGTCGATCATTAAAGATTTATCGGCAAAATAATATATATATAATTTTCATAAATTAAAAAAAATCGAATAAAATCATGTCTTAATAAGGCCAAACCTAGATCATTAATCTCATGCTTGATGTTGGATCTGGAACTCCATCCCGCTGCCTTTCTTCGTGGCGAGCAATTATTCTTTGCCACAATGATAATGCGAGAAATGAGTGTAACTCACATGAAATATCATAAATAATTGCTCCTGCTTTAATCCAGGCTTTCTTTATAAAGCAAGATACTCGAGCACTATTCCGAATGTCATTTTCTTTTCTGGATGCATGTAGTAAATAAAAACACAAGCAATAATTACAAACATTAATATGGCCCTTGTCCAATTCTACACACGTCGTATCTCCTCACCTACATTGCCCTAAAATCACAGGACTCCCCAGTTAAACTAGTAGCCCCAGTTTCGAAGGGGAATTTATCTGCCCAAAGTTTGTTAATATCAAACAAAAACACCCACAGTGTTGTATATTATACTCTGGGATTGATTGACGTTTAAAAACCCACATGCTGTGTCTGAAACGCATCAAATTGAGATTGTCTTCTAGTTATATATTTCCATGTGCATCAGCTAAATAGTCGATGGAGGGACGTAGCCCTATGTAGACCAAAATGCATACTCTTATAACGTATTCAGGGATTAGTCAAAGGAAAGGAAGATCCTCTGCTACTTTTCCTGCGTATCTTTGAACTCGTATATCAAAAACGAAAGTTTTCTTTCTTCCTGCAAACTTCTAGGCTTAAGAAGCCCTGATCCAGTGTAAAAGGAACAAGGGAGGATGGGACCCCATAAACTCTCCTCTTTCACAATCGGACAGCTCATGTGCCCTCCATTGGCTCCATCTCATGATATCACGTCCTTACGTGGCCTAAAAGTGTCAAACAGTTCTCCTTCTGAGGAGGTAAAGAATACAATCTTATATATTATATTCACGTTAACCCTGGCAAGATACATGAAAAGAATTGCTTACATCACAAGGAAGAAGATAAGAGAAGAACATGGTAGATATGTGTTGCTTCATGTAAAACAAACTTGGGTTCCGACAAATCATCACATGATGAATGATCTTAGATAGCTTATTATTATTTTGTCATTCGGCTTCAGGCATAAACCAACTTCAATACATTACCCAACCCAAAATGGAAACAAAACAGCTTTCATGATTTATACCCCTGAGCGGTCCTCCAGAAAGTATAGTTCCTGTGTTGCCAAACGTAGATGCTTGAGCAAGAAGATAAGGTTCAGTGGACATTAGATTCAAAGTAACAACAGATACACTTCCCGACAGATTTCAAGTTCCCACATCCTGTAACACATGGTTCCCTCTTTTCCTTAATTTATCTGAAGTAACTAATTAGTTTTTCTGAGAATCTTAGGTCGTCCGATTGGTGCAATAAATGAAGGGGCTTAGTTTCCCACAATCGAAATTAAACATTTGTTTATTACAGGGACACAGAGAAACATATTCTACAACACATGGAAAAGATATTTATAACATAGACATGATAAGCTTTGCATCCATGATACATAATTTCAGATGTTTCAGAAATTCACTTGGAAGAGTAGGCCAGAAAAAAAAAAAAATTGTCTTATCTCTACGAATTTCTTCTTCTAAAATACACATATAGGAACCATATATTATACATAGATAAATGAAAATTTAATTTGGTCACAGTCAGCAATGTAATATATCTCAGCTTCAACATGTAGCACTGAAGGCAAACGAATATCAATCTGTAAAGAAAAAAGAATCGGGTTTTGGCCTGCATATATATATATATTTATATCTCAGCAGAAGCTCCACAAACGAATATCACTTTCCTCGCAAAAATCATCGAGCAGCTGGGTTGGATCAATATCAAACAAATTACCACCGAGCATTTGATTCACATACTTGGGAGATTGCAAATCATCAAAGCTATACCAAGAGTCCATCAAAGAGACTGGTTCATTAGTCTGATCATAACTAGCGTAGGCCCCAAATGATGAGATTAGTGAGACATCATCATCGATTTGATCGGAGGACATTGATGGGGACGAGACGAGTGAGGATGAGGAGGTCGAGGCGGAGGCAGGGGGCGGAGAAGGTGGGGTTGTGGCATTGTCAGAAAAACTATTTGCAGCAGCTGCAGCAACTCTTTGGATTGATTTAGGAGACATGACATTGTCTTGAGGAATGTATTGTGAAGAACTTGAAGGGAAGTTGAGATTAGCTGACGAACCCTTGAGGCATAGAAGTGCAGCATCGTAGGCTCGGGCTGCAGCCTCCGGGGTTGAATAAGATCCCAACCATATTCTTGTTTTCTGGTTCGGTGCTCTAATCTCTGAAACCCATGATCCCCAGCTCCTCATTCTCACTCCCTTGTACCTCTTCTTCCCATCTGATGATGCTGACGATGTCTGCATCCTGTAACACATGGTTCCCTCTTTTCCTTAATTTATCTGAAGTAACTAATTAGTTTTTCGGAGAAATCTTAGGTCGTCCGATTGGTGCAATAAATGAAGGGGCTTAGTTTCCCACAATCGAAATTAAACATTTGTTTATTACAGGGACACAGAGAAACATATTCTACAACACATGGAAAAGATATTTATAACATAGACATGATAAGCTTTGCATCCATGATACATAATTTCAGATGTTTCAGAAATTCACTTGGAAGAGTAGGCCAGAAAAAAAAAAAATTGTCTTATCTCTACGAATTTTCTTCTTCTAAAATACACATATAGGAACCATATATGTATACATAGATAAATGAAAATTTAATTTGGTCACAGTCAGCAATGTAATATATCTCAGCTTCAACATGTAGCACTGAAGGCAAACGAAATACATCTGTAAAGAGAAAAGAATCGGGTTTTGGCCTGCATATATATATATATTTATATCTCAGCAGAAGCTCCACAAACGAATATCACTTTCCTCGCAAAATCATCGAGCAGCTGGGTTGGATCAATATCAAACAAATTACCACCGAGCATTTGATTCACATACTTGGGAGATTGCAAATCATCAAAGCTATAAACCAAGAGTCCATCAAAGAGACTGGTTCATTAGTCTGATCATAACTAGCGTAAGGCCCCAAATGATGAGATTAGTGAGACATCATCATCGATTTGATCGGAGGACATTGATGGGGACGAGACGAGTGAGGATGAGGAGGTCGAGGCGGAGGCAGGGGGCGGAGAAGGTGGGGTTGTGGCATTGTCAGAAAACTATTTGCAGCAGCTGCAGCAACTCTTTGGATTGATTTAGGAGACATGACATTGTCTTGAGGAATGTATTGTGAAGAACTTGAAGGGAGTTGAGATTACTGACGAACCCTTGAGGCATAGAAGTGCAGCATCGTAGGCTCGGGCTGCAGCCTCCGGGGTTGAATAAGATCCCAACCAATATTCTTGTTTTCTGGTTCGGTGCTCTAATCTCTGAAACCCATGATCCCCAGCTCCTCATTCTCACTCCCTTGTACCTCTTCTTCCCATCTGATGATGCTGACGATTCTGAGCTTGCATTGGCTTTGATGTCTCTGCGTGGATCTTGTGCCCTCTCTTGACCATTTAGAGACTCAACTCCGGAAGTTTCAAATCACTCCTTGAGGCACAGAGCTCCAAAGGGTGTTCACCAGTCTCTGTTCCTCTCTTTTTGAATGTGATTTTGTTGTCCTTCTCCTCTCGTTGCTGCTCTGAAAGTGGGGGAATGAATCAATCCGAGTGAATGTTGAGCACTAAAGGCGACCTATTTATAGATGGATGCTTGTATTTTAAGATATTAATTAAATACTCCACTCAATTCACCCTAAACAAAAAAACAAAAAAAAGTTCCTCCCTTGATATGACATTTCTGCCGGATGGTTGCAAGTAAATTTAAATTTAATATGAACATTAACGTCAGACAACCTAGGTCATAAAATGACTTCTTTGTCCTTTCTACGCGAAGCTTCCTTCAGATATGCATCATTTGGTTGCCCACTGTATCGCAGTTCAGTCACATGCCCTCTCATTTTGTACCATAAGTTTCAATTTTTACCCCTTTCCATTTATTTTACCAATCCGAGTTTCTTCGTCGTTTGGATTAGACATATGTCACTTTTTCTGATTTACTGTTCGGTCGGCACATTTTGATCACTTCAGCAATGTGAGCTAGCTTTTTAGTGAGTTTAAAAACCAAGATATCTTTCTGGTCTTCGATGGGGGCAGTTATGATTTAGTCAATGGCAGATTTCTTGTTAAAACATGTTAAATATTTATAGTTTACCATGTGAGATGCTGCAGAAGTTACTCTCTGGAAACAATAAATAACACGGCACGACTTTTTTTCGAAGTCGGCAGTTTAAGGACATCGCTGAGGAGCAATTGTTTCAAAGCGCCACCATTAATAAGAGTGAAAATCAATTAAAATGCGTTAAGACTTGGACTTAAATCCTATGGACTAAGGAGCCAAAAAAAGCCAGCTGATAGTAATTAACGCTTTGACTGAGTTCATTTGAGTAACATCATGGTTCACAGCGGACAGTACATAAAAAAATGAAGGGAACTCTAAATAATGTATTTACTATTTAGGGAGTTTTCGACTGCGACAAAAGAGATGTACTTAGAGACTAAATATAAATACAAGACGAGATTTATGACAACAATGCATGAAGGAGAAAAACATAGGATTCTCTGTTGCATAAGAGGCAGCTCTGCAGGTGGTGATGCTTAAAAAGAATCCAAAAAAGGAAAAGAAATTAATTAGAAAAAAAAGGAAAGGTAAGGGGAAAAATGTGTGAGTAGATGAGACGCGCAGTCTCTAACAGTAACGAAGAAGGGCATTTGCAAACACACCAGCTGTTGCTTCTCTGTACCCAGCTCCAAAACCGCGTCAAGGAGCCTCCTTTCCTCATGCATCTTTGTTATCTCCAAAACTAATCAGCATTATTTAATTTAATAATACTTATCATTTCTTTTTTATTTAGGATTACCATGCTTAGTTGCTCACGCCTCCATAATTGACTTTCACTCCCTTTCCTCTCTCTGTCCCTATGTTTTCTATTTTATTTTCACCTTTCTGGTTTTAAGGTATTCAAATAGATTCTCCACTGGTACGGCACAACCTTATACGCCTTTTACTTTGGGAAAAATGCCATGCCAGCACACATGCATGGGATTGGACGTTAGGTTTTGAAAAACACCGCCTCTTTATATAAATTTATGGCTCTTTCTAACATGGGTCTGTGCTCTGTAGGGTCAATTTTCACACATTCAAAGACCTTCATTCTATCATTTATTTTTAATATTATTATCATCTAAAGTTCATACAGTAGTAGGCAAACCAAAGTGTGCTTGTTTGTCAACCTGACAGCGAAGGCTTGTTATTATTAGTCCACAAGCCCACCTTCTCTTCGAATTTGTAATTATTGCAGAGTGAGAATGGTCATTAAAAAAAAAAATTGAAAAAGATGCCCGAGTTGAACTAGAAACAGCCCTCTTAACACTGGTACTATCTTCCTGCGTCAACCTTTCCTCGAGCTTGTGTGTATTAAAATCACATAATTACTGAGTATGGAGCAATTGATTCTGAAATGGCAATGGGCGTGTGCTTTTGCATTAATTCAAAAGAATGGGAAATGAACAGTCATAGTTGCACTCTCCGATGATAATACAGGAGTGAAGAGAATAGTGTCGTCATACCGTACAAGTCGCCAGCCTCCTCCCTCCTTCCTGACGCCCTTGTGATGCACTCGGGAACATAAAGAATACATATCAGATTTCAAGGCATCTCCTTTGGTATTAAGAAATTATATGAATCTTAAAACCAGTTGGTCCTAATTAACAAATTTGACATTTGATTAATTAGATGCAGCTGAGGGTACGGTCTTTGACGTGCCATTACTTTTTCATTATAATGATTCCCACATGTTTTTTGCCGCATTCCTTATTATAGATCCGTCAAATATCGAGGAGGGAGGCAAACTGGCAAAGGTTTTGCTTGCTGGAAGTTGGAAGGAAAGGGGAATTCACGATGCAATTGGGTTTAATCCAAATGCTGGATTAGCTGGACCTTGTGGATTTTGTTGACAAGTTAACCGTTTAATTTTGCTAATATATGTGAACAAGATCACTGTGTTCCCCACCCTGGCCTTCTTTTCACAGAATTATAAATATCCAATACAGTGTAAAGGGACCGCGTCAATGATATAAATGTATTCAATTGGTTTGACTGTTTATATGCGTATGATTACATGGAAAGTAAAATGGAGCTCTCTCAAGCAACTCCTTGATCTCTGGGGCAAAATAAAGTTCATGAGTGCTACTTTGCCAAGTTGTTAATGGGGGAGCTAGCTAGTGGCTGTGGAAGGGAGTAGAATTGAACATTAAGAACACGTGTCACACATACTCACGCTCGATCCCCATTAAAATTGATGAAGAAAATGTGTATTTACATCATAGACTATAACCACAGAGGGAGAGAAAACAAGCGAAGCCTGTGGCGGAACTGATTGAGCATAAAAGCAGGGGCATGCATGCTTGTGCGAAATTATATTGTTGATAATGTGGCAGTGACAGAGATGAGTGCAGTACCTCTATCCTAACTGGCCCGTACCGACTAAGACCTTCCGTACCCCATAGACAGAGAGTGAAAGCGACAAGCAAATAATATATAGGTAGCAATGAATGAGGGCGAGTACAGCCAGCAGAAGTAGGGCCAATGCTTATTGAAATCTCACAGAAGAAGCATGACTGTGCATGCATATCAAACAGGATCCTTCATTTTCAAATAAATTATGCAGAGGCTGAGAGATTGGGAGGATGGGCGACCTGCACCCGGTCAAGGATTTCTTTTTCATTTGGGTGGTTGTTGGGGGATGAAGAGGCAATCTCCATGTGCCCCCCTGAGATCATCTTACATTTTGCAGGATTCAATTTCTCCTTTGGATAAAAAGCATATTTAGTGAAACTTCCTAGAAATTACTGTTCTATCGCAGCACGGATATCCTCAACAACCATATCTATTATCTACAATTGCCATCTCCCTCAGTGTTTGATAGCTGTTTTTCTTATATGCGATAATATATTCAACACATCTCTCGCACCCAACTCCTTCATCCACTCGCTGTGACCAGTGACCTTCTTGGCTACTTCCTATTCCTCAACTTGTTCCTTTTTTTTCACCATTCCAGCAAACACTGATAAATCGATGTCAGGTAAATCTCTCGTAGCTTTTTTACTGACTGAATTGGGTTTCATTAGGGGAAGTTTTGGAAAGGCCACGGTACGCGTCTAAATATATGTTAACACCAACAAAAGCAACAGGCATCAACATCTCAAGCGCAGGTTTTGAGATCTTGTATGGCATATCTCCCCCAACCCCTTTCAATGCGTTTTTCCTGTTTCTATATACGCTTTTGTTTGACTGAATCTAGTCACAATCTGCAAAT